CGTGGCTTGCATTTGTGTGGTTTTGAAACTGCAGTTACGCAATAGTCGAGGTTAATTTGCATGAAGTTATTTTTATGCAACTGTTTGCAAGAGCGTCATTTCAGAATCACTTGTTCGATGGCTGCACCTTGAAATGAATGTGCTGACGAATGAAAATCTAGAGGTCAGTCTTTTCTGTACTGCAGTAGGCCCATTTCTTTGTCTGATTTGTGCAGCGATTGTAGAGTGGCGTTGAACAGAGAATCCGAAGAACTCTTCAGAGTCCACGTCTCCCCGGTGAGCCCAGGAATAGCAACATGATTTTATCAGGTCCTTGAATTTAATCCTTCCCATTCCCTTCCCCTCTGTGAAACCGTCGAATGGCGTTGCATGATTTCCACGTTCCTACTCTCTGGAGCTCGTGCGAGATGCACCAAGCAGAGATCGTATGCCGATGGGCTTCGTTGTTGCCAATTGACGACGTTAGTGTTAGAGAATCACAGCGTAGTGTACATTAGTGCTTGTCCCTGCTCGTTCGAAGATAGTTTGCAGCACAACGGTAAATAAATTCGGCCTCATTGTCTTTCAACGTACGAGGAGTAGGGTCTTTCTAGGGAGTTTAATCCTCAGTAGTCATCATCACCTTATGCCGAATAGCAATCCTGAAACCCAGAGTGGAGCGTGTAATCTGTGCATCTTGAATTTGTATATTGACTTATTGCAAAGTAAACTAGCCTTATCTGCGGAATGCTGATTAAATGATATGACAGTACTGACGTACACTCTTAAAAAATCTCAGACATTGTACGTAAGGAATCAGCGTAGATAATAAGTCTGTTGAAATGAACGCGGTATGGACGTGCCTTTGCTCTATGGTCTTTAGTTTTAGAAAGTACGCGCTCAGTGTTCGCAGTTTTGTCACGTAGCGGTAGATGTGAAGTTGAGCGCTCCTGCTTCGAGCCCCTAACTGGAAACCTCTTTTCCTCAGTTCATCGAGGCAGAAGGTGCGATGATTTGTTAAAATGTGGGAGGAAGTAGTTTATAAATTGTCGCATTGTCAAGCAAGGCACTCTACTGCTTGAAATGAGGAAAACCACGGACACTCTCTGGCTCTCTATTGAGTCGTAGCCGCCCCAACGAGAGGATCGGATAAAATGAACGCTGAACGAGAGTATAAGCAGGTGCGGCAGGAGACAGCTTTCTGAAATTGCAAGGCCCTCAGCATAATTACTGATGTGACGTTTAAAATTTAATGATTCCCTCGCATTTTCAGCGATAAGAGGTCTGTTGGTAACATTTTATTTTCCACCCTCAGCATTTCGCTGCCACGGAAGGACTCCGCTGTTCGTGTACTTGGTGACGGCCAGTGTAGTAGCGTAAATTGTAAACTACAGTAGATTCAAATCGTCGCGTGGCGCGCACATTTCCTATTAGACTCCGCTCGTCATGCAGCGCACGGTGTTCAAATATTGTTCTACAGTAGTGGATTTATTGTGGCTCTAAATCAGTCGAGGGACACGTAGTAATCTGCCTGTGTGCTTGTCTGATAAACCTTGGATTTCATGCATACTTAACTTCGCACTGAAATGTGTAATTCGAGCTTTGACGTTTTTAAAATTAGCTTCGGTAACTGATACGATAATGCATTTTATTGCTTGCATCACGTGGTACAGACATTGGTTCACGCTACCCGTCCCAGTCTGTAACAGCATGTCGTGTTTTTCTCAAACGAAATGTGTCGACTGCAAGTTTTCTGTATCGTAGGTTGGGAAATGGCAGGATAATTATAAGTGGTAAGTTGGAAAATATGACCTCTGAAACGTCGGTAAACTTCTACCAGAGTACACTGCCATCTTCGAGAAAACGTCAAATCCTGCTTATGCACGGCTGTGTCAGATCATTTGCCGAGAAGCGTCGGTCTTGGTCTGAACGTCAGGTCATGAGGAATTGAAGTATTATTAAGTCTGTCCGAAGTCGCGTCGAAGGACTCGCATGTTTGAACTGTTGTTTTGTACAGGACACGGCATCTCATCTCGGGAAAGAACAGCTTAGAAAATGTATGCAGCTGTAACAATCCTGACACGATCGCTATGTTTTCGCGCTCTTCAGCTGTTATTCGATGCTCAGAAACGCAAGCAGGTGTTTGTAAAACATCAGTTACTGTTGTTCGATTTAAATCGATATAGGAATGTGTTTAAAAAATCCCCATAGAATCAAGTTTGAAATTCCTTGCAGTGATTCTCGAATCGGTAAATTTAGACAGACCTACAGATCGGAGATTCTTTCTTTCTTTTTCCATCCTTTTGTGTGGACGAGTTCATTGCATTTTCCATCTTCGTAAAGATCCAAGTTCGCGCGTTACCCTCAAGTGTGGGACAGGGAAGAACTTGGAAAAGGTTTCCTAAAGCCCTTCGTGCGCTCGTAGGACGTAAAACGTTCCGCTTATGATTTCACATTTGTTCGCCGGCAGTGGGGTGGAAATTCGCACTGACTGAGAGGCTGGCATAATGCTGTAATGCCACACAATTATGCCTAAGACCTTGCACTGGTCTCGAACCTTGAACGTTTGTTTCACAAGGTTGAGAAAATTTCATCCTCTGTAGCCGGTGTTTCGAAGGATAAGGTGACTACCCACTCTTGTGTCCGAGTTGAGGTTGCATTCATTCCGCTGTTGGTTGCTCGCTTTCAGGTGAACGCGTCTGTACAATTTTGCTGAGTTCAGTACAGTTCTTTCTACTCGTATTACCTATCATTCTTCCAGATGACGACTGCAGAGGAAACGAAAAATGGACCGTCTGGATGCTGTTTCGAAATGTCCATCGGCTAATTCATGTACTAAATGACACTTATTTTGCGCCCTAGAAAGTAGCGCATACAAGGCTTATCGCATCTCTCCAAAGACTGATTTAGATTAAATTTGATATAAGAGTCGAGCCATTTTGAGGCCTGCCCAAACTCGTAGACTACCGTTCCTCCCTCCCTCCGTCTCCCCCTGCGTTACGTCATGTTTGTTCTCCGTGCAACCTTCAGACTTGAAATTTACAACCTATTGTGTGAACCGACGTGTTAACTAGTTCAAGTAGCTTGTCACGTGTGTTGTAGCGCCACGTGTTGCGAGTTCTGTTGTAAATCTGCCCCTTTTAACTCCAGTGCCACAAACGACAGCCTCAAAGTGGGTTACGCTCCGACCGCTTTAACTATATGCTGGGAGCCGATGGTTCCCGTGGGATAGAATGAGAGGTCCTGTGACGGGGAAGCCGAATGTGGCTCAGATAACGAAGCGCCCGTTTACAATTGCGGACAATTCGAGTAGCGTAAGCTCACGTAGTGGCGGCGGTGGTGGACGGATGGACAGATAATTGTATACCATATTGAGGTACCCGACTTTTCAGTGGACTGACATTTTGTATTAAACAAATGTCTGTGCTTTATATCACATTTTAAACGGAGTTCTTAGATTGTGCGGATGTTTAAATACTTTTTTAAAATTTAAATTTATCACAAAAATGCTTACTTTCTGCAATTAGTGCGTCAACCCAGTGGGAGAGCGCTCGCTGATCAAATGCTGCCTTCGAGGCGGGTCTTATGAACCTGGAAAACCAATTTACTTATCAGAATTTCCCAAGCAATAGCAGTTATAAAAGCTAATAATGACTGATTTCTTATAGAGATTAGGTTTGGCCAAAATATCCATAAAAGCGGAGGAATGCATTACAATTGGCCCTGCATTGCTGAAATGTGGGCCTTAGGGGATCAGAAGCATCAGAAAGTCTTGTATTGTTGTTGTTGTTGTTGTTGCCGCCTGCTTCCTGTCTTTTCGCACAAAAAATCTCCACTGCGAGCCTATCGCTTGGACTCATGGGTCAGTAAATGTGTTTTTACGTTCTGTGCCAGACAAGTGACGTGTGTGTCACGTGTCCTGTGCCATTGAACGTGGCAGCGGGCTCAGAAATGTTGAGGGATTAGCATTTTCTCTTTTAATTAAAATCGTTGTTTAAATATGAGTTGATTTTCTTACGATTTCTGCGTCAACTTGTGTGCAGACTGAAATACGATTTGTTTGAACAGAGACAATATTTGCCTCATTGACTGAAGCAAACAACAGCACGACCCAATATGAAACTTGCGTGATTGTCTTTTCATTCCCTGAGGAAAGAAACCTTTTTTTTTTCTTAAGCTCTTACAAATCGGGCTGCAACATTCTCAGTGTTTTTCGGAATTCTTTGTTGTGCAAAACAGAACGAGTTTCGAAGTAACAATAATGTGAGTAGGATTTGGTGATTTCACGGCGGTGATTCTGCAGACGGCTGACTCCAGGGTCCTTCCTTGCGCCGTGTAGTCTGGTAGATGTCCACCGACGTTTCGGACGTCCTTGTTGCCTCAATTATCAGGGCCCCGACTGAGCTACTTTGATATTTTCTTATGGAATCGACGTGTATCGGAGATCAAATTTCTTGTATTTATTTGATTCGGAGCTCATATTGAATAATAAACATAGTTGTAAACATTTTTCCCCAAGTCGGGGTTCGAACCTAGATAGTCCAGCCGGCGCAAGGCTAAAGTGCGCCGACTGAAGGTACATTTGATGCTTTATTAAGGACTCTATATGAAACAGATGGAAAAAAATTATTTACGTGATTCTGAACAAATTTTGAATGATGTTGCATAATATAAACATTTCAGAATATTCCCCAATCGGGGGTTTGAAACATGATCGTCCAGTCGGCGGAATTCTCCAGGACTTCTCCAGCAGTTCTCCAGGACATCCCCACGACCACCCGATGAACACGATAGGAATTCTCCAGGACACAACCTAACCCATTGTAAAGGAATTCAACCTAACCTAACCTAACTTGCCCTCTGTATTTTTATGGTGACATCTCTACTGAGTGGCTTTCCACGTTAAGTTATATCACACAATAACCAAATTCCAATTGTTTATTTGTCCTGGAAATGAAGTAGAAGAATAAATGCATAATTTTGTTGTAGAAATTCAGACAACTTTCTTTGTCGCGTTTTAGGCTGAAGAGGTGCTGGAAGATATTTTATCTTACGAAGCCAGTTCTTTGGCGTCGGATGGCCTTAAGGTGACAGATTCGTCACTGAACATTTCATCAGACATTCAGGTATGAAACTATCAGCTTCTTGATAATGTGGTATCTGATGCCAAAAAAATGTTTAAGGACCATAAAAATTGTCTTTTCTGTTCTCTACACGTGTTTACTTTTTTACATTAAAGTCTTAAAAGTTGAAACATAATTATTTCTGTGACAGAAATGGTTTTCTGAATATTGTACTTTGCCTCTCTCAGTCGTGAAATAACTGTGGAAGCCCCGCAATTGAAATAGCGTCCCGTTATATTCACGTAAATTTCCTAGGACCTCAGACATTCCCTGCCTGTCTACGTAATGTTCACAGATTCTGCAATTATGTGATGCAGCGTATCAATTTGCTTTTAATTATAAGATCAGGAGTCGCCTGAAACTTGGGCACGGCTGCAGCGCGTCTCATGGTCGAAGTGGTGGTTCCTGACGCCTTCTGCATTGACTGCTTTTGTATTATCAAAATTCTTTAAGTTTTACTATTTTGTTTGTGAAACGCAGTCGTCAATACAACTTCTTTCTGTCTGTAGTGAACATTTTAATATTCTCTGTATTATTTTAGTTTCTGGATGCTTATGTTTCGTTTAGGTTGGAACCGGAAGCCTCTATGAACAGCTGATAGCGTATGGAAATGGGGCGCTCAAGACGAGCAACTCTTGCCCTCCCGATCTGCCACAGATTAAGCCAGAACCACTTCAGCTTAGCGACGCAGAAATTCATGCGATTGCCAAAGACAGGCAGAAGAAGGATAATCATAACATGAGTGAGTTTACAAATACTCGCATTTATTCTGCCAAAAAAAATGGTTCCCTTCCTGTTTTGTCTGAGGTTTGAACATGGTCCTCTTGTTCGGAATGCGTAATCTCAGTGGATGCTGTTTGACGATGACATTTCGAGGAATATCTGAGCCCAGGGAGGTTAATGATGGCTCAGATTGGGAAGCAACGGGCCTTCGTGGCCTGCTTAAGTTAAAGGCGATAGGTCGTCCAGAAACGGACTCTGGAAGTTAAGATGTAATCTCTTTCAATTAATAGCTTTTCACTGAATCGAGATTATTATGATTTTTACTCTTGGGACCTTTTGCACTCCAGTGTCTTCATCGCTGATTGGAAATATTGATCACTGTAAAACCGTCGTAGTAGAGTGACGGAAAGCCGCGTGTTAGCAAGCATGACGCTGCGCCTTGCATTAACAATACTAATTTACTTTCAGTTGAAAGACGACGGCGTTTCAACATCAATGACCGAATCAAAGAATTGGGAACGCTGCTACCAAAAAACAATGATCCGTAAGTTAATCTAATCTTAATCAACTGAATATTAATGTTCCATGCAGGAACGCTTGGAGGATGTCGTTGCATATCATCTTCTTTGAGGGACTTTGGAGCTCCTGGACCTGGAAGCCTTGGCCTGCTGGATATTTCCAGCTTTTTAAATGCTCTGTTAGAAATTCAGTGGGACTTCTTGAATGGGGTGTAGTATATATTTGATGCCTGTTGTGGGACTTGAACCTGCAGTCCCAATGTTCAAGTCGTCAGTACAAATAACTTGATTTACAGCCATGATGAGTAAAATAGTATCTGCAAGTGCGGTTGATTTCTGCCATGGCCCGATGAAACAGCTGTTCTGTGAGATTCAGAGAGGTTAATTCTTACGACTGCCTTTTCGTGCATTCTTATTGTTGTCAGCTTCCACGAAATTGTGCGAGATGTTCGACCCAACAAGGGCACCATTCTTAAGTCATCTGTGGATTACATCAAGGTCCTAAAACACGAGGTGCAGCGAATGAAACAAGTGGAGGCGAGGCAGAAGCAGCTGGAGCTCCAGAACCGGCGCCTCTTCCTTCGAATACAGGTAAAATCTTTGTCATCTCAGGTGTCGCATAGTCGAAGAGAAGGAGAGAGAATTTGCTGTGGTTTTTGAACAGTTAACTCAGTAAGTTCGGCGTTCTTCTAAACAGCTAACAAGATAATATTAAAATTGATGTTAGAAATAAGATTTAAACTCGGCTTACTGAGAACATCTGCGTGCGGGCCACACGGTTGTTATAAGACGATGATATTTCTTGCTGATCCAGTTGCAAAAAACATTTTTGTAATTGGTTTCTGTGGCACATACATGCTTGAGTATTAGATCCACAGTTTTTTTTCTTCAATGAGATTTTCCATATGTGGAGAGGTGAATTCTTGACCATCGGTATTGGAATGTAGGTACGGTTGGTCAGGGCCCAGACAGCAGTCGAGCAGGAAGAAATCAAGTGTTTGTAATGTAAGTTATTTGAATGTTTAGGAATTGGAACTGCTGGCAAAATCACATGGACTGCCGGTGTCTGAGTTCGCATGGCAATCCTCCACCCCATCACCTGTTATCACCAGCTACTTCAAGTCCCATCACGTGATACAGGACCCAGTGAGTATTCTTAAATAGGAAATATTTTAGCCTAAGAAGAAGTATCAGAAGCCTCATCATTTATGCCGTTCACCAAATATTATTAGAGTGATCATGTGTGCGTGCACGTGCCTCGCATGTAGAAATGATAAGTGCGCGAATGGCTATGATGGCCAGGGCATGTAGCACACGGCAAACACTGGGGAGATTTAGAGTTGAAAAATGTGTAAGGCAGAGAATAGTTGGAAGACAGTTTTAAAATAGATCTTGGAAGAAACGACGTGAATTGGTTTCATTGGCTCGGGATAGGGACCGGTCACAAGCTCTTGTGAGCACGGTAATGAACCTTTGGGCCACATAAAAGGTAGGGAATTTGTTGGCCTTCTGGGTGACTTTTGCTTCTCAATAAAGACTGTCTTACGGATTTAGTTGGTTTGTCGGCTAGCCAGCTAGATACACAGTGTACAGAATATGTCATGTAAGGATAGTCGATAGACTTATCTAAAGACAGTCCCAACGATATGTAGTCTAGGTACTGAAAGCATCGTTAAATAAATTGTAAATAAATAGAGACAGTGAAGTCAGATCGACTTTTTCCTACTAATATAAGATTTTTGTCTCTTTGTATTTGACATGCATTGTCTTTTATAGTTGCTTGATCAAACATTGGATGGCGGTACACCACGATTCAGCATGCAGATGCAAGACACTATTATAGAAACGTCAGCTCTAAGCGCGTCCCAAGTAGATCTAATGGAAGATGATCATCCTGTAAATGGCGACCCAATGCTCTCGTCTCCGCACGTGCCGAGCCCAGGAGAGCCGCACCACATAGATGATGATGACGACGACGACGATAATGAACTCGACAGTGACTCTCTTGTGGATATGGACATGGTGGCATGATCCTACTTGTTTGACAGCTGTTGAGGCGTCTGAAAATTAGTTGATGACTATAGAGAGGGCTTCTTGAGCTCGTAGCACAGTACGGAGTCAGCATTTGTTTAGTAGCCATGTTTCTGTGAAACAAGTGATTACTGACTGAAATGCTTCAAGCACTCAGATTCACGCTGATTTTGATCAGGCCTTGTTACTTCGGTTGCATATTTTACGTGCAGAAAAGTTTGCAAATTGCATGATCTGTGAAATAATCCTACAAAATAAAACAATGATGCGGTACTGGAATGTTTAGATTGTGTCACGTTGACGACCTGATGTGGGACATCAGAGCGTAACAAGATATGACCGATGAAGTGTCTGGTACCTGAGTGCCTGAACGTGAAATGTGTGGCTGCTGCATAGTTTATGATGCTGACTGATTATAAAATCTTCTCGGGCAACCAGCCATGTCAATTCGCAGCATAAGTCAGATGTTTCAGGGACCTCTCCTCTCTCCGTTATCAGGGAGTGGTGTGATGGATAACCAGTGTTTGTTGTTCATGTGCATAATTGATTCCCCTTCCCATGTGGCCAAGCATAGAACGCCCTCATTAACATCTGCAGAAAGCAAATAAGGTTAGGCAGTGCTTGGACCGGACTGAGGTCACATCAGGCGACACGGAGACCAAAAGAAGCTGGAGGGGTTACTGCAGTTTCAGACGACGGTACTTTTGACTGATGACAGATGATTTGTGGTTTTTAGACGACACTGATCAGGTCATTCTGATCCAAAGATCCAGATGCATTCATTGGTCTGGCTGCATTGATTATGTATTTTAACGAGAAACAGCGGTGACATGTCACATCATTCCCTGTAGATCGAGAAACACTGGGTTTCTGAAATGCTGGACTTTGCTCCAGATTGATGCTGCTGGTTGCCTGAGAAGATTTTATCGCATTTAGTCACTGTGAAAGCTTCAAGTCATATCTGACTGATGATGTTAAGTTTTGAAAAGTTTATCATTATCATACTTTTGACTATGTTATGTGATTATACTTGATTTTCAAGAATGGTGATATACGAAGTCACATTTTCAAATAGTTTATATATATTGATATATATTACTATAAAACTGTTATGTTTGTTAAGAAAGCAAAGCATTGATGAAAGAGGGAACATATTTCATAAGTACATTGTTTTCAACAGTCATTAGCCAGTTAATGTCTTTAAAGCAAATATATATATAATTACAAAATTATACGAGATATTTAGTAATATTTCTATTTTCATGTATTACATGCAATTGATATGTATATGATGTCTTCCACGAATGAAAACTGATGGAGCAGCGTTTTGCATTTATATATGCATGCATGTGTTTATATGTATATATGTACACCAAATAAGTGCATACATACTGTGAACAGCTTATACAGTGTACATGAAATATGACCATTAAAAATTTTGGAACCCGTATTTGCAAATTTCATGAAGAATTGATTTTTGTGTGTGAAGAGTCTGTTATGTATGGGTGAAACCACGTGGATGGACGTCTGTTGAGTAGACGTGAATGTTGCAGTTTGAATAGCACAGAGTCGATTTCTTTTATGTGTATATCGGGTTGCTTGCCAGAGACATATTTTTCTAAGTAATTAAAAGTTTGATCTCGTGCGCTTGACACGGAAGAAGAGGACAGAGCAGGCATCTGCAGTCTGTCGTGATGTTGAATGCCTGATGATAATACACAAGATTTATATAGGAATTTGCTATCCTTGTATTTTTATGCAGTCCTTGTATGTCAAAAACAATACTGAATAGTTTTCATAGGGCCATGCACTTGGATACCTATTTTTATGTTAAATTTTTTAATGGCAGATCAGTTATTGCTTTCCTGTATGGAAGAACGTCATCTGTTCTGTTTGCCTTATCGACAACAATTCATTTTATCTTCATGAGTATCTATTGATGAAACGAGTTGTGATAGTGTCACTTATTATATAATAAAATGAAAAAGCTTAGTTAAAGACTTGTGATAATTCACTATATGATATGAATGACCAAATAAGGATATATTTGCTTTTAGAGACAATTGGGCATTAAAATATCAATATGTGACCTGTGCGTAACTGAAAAGTTGTTCAGATTTGAAAGGTTTTGTGAGTGTTCAATTGACTGCCTGTATCTTTCACCCTTATTGTGCATGTACAACATATTTGTAATTTTAATTTTGTCCTTATAACCCCTAGTGATTACTGGCTGTAAGATACTTAGAGTAAAGGTGTATTACTGTAAACCTTATTTGCTACACTTTGTGTTCAAAGAGGAATGCATTAAAGAATAATCAGGTTTAGTGTGGATAAAATATCCAGTAACTTCTCTGTTATGGCATCTCACTATGATGAATGGCACAAGCACATTATTGAACCACAGTTCATTATCGAGGTGTCTTACAGGGATTTGGGGAAGTTTTTCCCCCAGTTTTGGAAAGTGGCCTTGAAAGAATATGATCATGGATTTAAAATAACTGGCTGTGATAAAATATACTATACTTCAGTATTGCATACTGTTTTTATTCTGTGTTGCAGCTAAATGTTTTTGAGAAGATTATATTACTCTGCTTGAATTTCAGAAGTATGGATGGAGGATGTCTGAGGACTGGTAAAATACAAGTATCATTCCTTATCTTGTGTCACTTGAAACACTGCGTGCCTCTACACACCTTTACGGGTAATTGTTTTTCAATTCTCCTACATGAAATGCATGACATTCCAATATTTTACATTGGTCAAGCTTGCCTCTTTGTGAAATTGCCATTTCTTTTGTAAGTCACAAACCCTCAAGGTAGACATGCTTGAAGAAAGGTGAAAGTACTCACACTGGGACAAATAGTTATTGGGGATTGTCTTTACAAATCAACCAATCTACATCACTTGCCTTGTGTAGTGATAGTTACACAATTCATCTCTTGGTTTCACACAGCATTAGAAATTACGTAAACTGTTCTGTCAGAAGCCTTTGTGGAACAAAGCTTGCTGTTTCTTTGTATTGAAAAACTGTTGCTAATCTTTGACTATATATATATATAAATTGTAACAGTGGTGCTAGGCATGTCAGAAACTGTTTCGTTTCAGTACAGAACTATTTAATGCTGTGATGCTTATTTTTAATTTCTTCATGTAATACTTACCAGTGGTATTAGGTTATCAGAAATAATGTTTATTTAAAAAAACGCGGTTACCTTATGTACAATACTTAAGTTCTCTTTGTTACATTACATAGTGAAACTTGACAAAATTAAATACTCACAATCCTGTAGAGAATATACACATTGCTCATTTCAGACTATATTTGTGGTCTGGTTTCTGGTGTCCATCCCTTCTGAGTGATGAATTATTGGGGAAACAATGTCATGGTCATTTCCTTGGTTTAAATTCTTGCAAGGAAGGCATATAACAAGACTGGAACACTTTCTGCTGGCATTGCTAGAAAGACCTTTCATTTTGACTTAGGGAAATTTGAAGTTTATGATTGATAGCACTGGCCAACAGTTGAATTCTACATAAACAGCTTCATTTTGACAGGGAAATTTGAAGATAATGATTGGTAGTAATGACAACAGTTGAATTCTATATGAATAAATAGCAGAGTGGCTAGTACTATTCAGTTGTGTTAATTTTCAGTTTATTAGTGGAATAACAAGCTCAGTTCATGAAGCAAACACAGGTATGAGAATTATGGTATAATTGTTTGAAATATTTTACAATTTTAAATCTTACATAGTAAATGTTTAAAATTTGGTTTACTGTATGTATATGTTAACACATTCATTGCCAAAAAGATGGAATGACATTTTCTGTATCTCATGCTACAAGTACCATGTGTTCATCAACATTTAGTGCTGATTTAAGTGTAGCAGATATGTTACTCAGATGCAGTAAAACATGCAGATAAAGGAAGCTTTGATACATGAACTTATGGATTTATGAATTATATTCTTTTGCAAAACAACTTCCTGTTCCTTTGTAAATATGTGGTTTCTCTGCATGATAAAGTGAAATATTTATATGAAAGTGAATAGCTATGTGTAACATCATATCCTAAAGCAACACTGAAGGTAACTTAAACATTTCATTAAATTACTTCAAATAACCTATAAGATGTCTAGGTTTTTTCTAGCCATGTTAAACAAATTCCACACACTGGGTAATTTTTTCCACATAGGACAGATCCTTCATAGGTCCAAGCCAAGGATTTAGAACATGCCATAGCACAAATAGAAAACTTTCTTCTAATACATGTATAAATTATACAGTTGTAACAGTCAACTACATTATTAATGCAAGAAATAATAGCACAAGAAAGCATACCCACTATTGCTTACATATGTTTAAAATAGCTGAGAATCTTTGGTTGAGGTAAATTCTTCTATGGAGTAGAAGGAATGAGATAAGATACAGAAAGCTTTAGTAACTGGGAATGCAAAGGATGCCGGGATAGTGACATAATTACATTCTGGGTATGTTCAGTAATGCTGAGGAGTTACATAAGGTCACAATAATTAATATGAATAGTATCACATACAAACAGATTTAATTATGTACAACTGTGTAACATAAGGAGCATAAAGCACCAAATATTTATAGTTTTCCATTAAACTTCATTACTTTTTTCAGTAATTCTATGGTCACGCTCAACATTTCTATGTGCAGAACTAAACACTTCCAAATAACTCGACAGGAACACTCCGGTATATTATATGTGTAGCTGAGGCTATGGTCTTATTTTGTCTTTTTTCAGTCTGTCCATTTCTTTCTCAACAAGTTGATTGAGGTCATCGAGGGGGTGATAACATTCATGAACAGCCTGTGCACCCAACATCATGGACACCATGGACGCAGCAAAAAATTTCAAGTACGTTGGCCACGAAACGCCAGCAGGCATGATCCTAGCCTCTGATCTTTTCTTCTTGTATTCGTTCCTGAGCCAACTGCTGTGCCTGCCGACGCTTAAATGTACGATCTGCAATTCAGTTTACAGCGTTTATCAATGAGATGCATCTGTGCAAACCTTGCACCAGAATTAAAATTACAGAAAAGCACAGAGATAATTGTGCAGCATGCCAAGAATGTTTTTATAAAATTAATTAAGTTTCAGTGAAATTTATGTAAGAATAATTTGCATCAGGTCTAAATAAGAACAGATCTGTGGCAGTTTTGCATGATGAGTAAGGGAACGTAATGCGTACTGCAGATGTGGAAGCTTAGGATGGATTATCAGAGCAGGGTGAAGTTTCAGGACTTTATTGAAGATAATGTTTGACTTCATATGGTACCAGATGAACTTCAGCTTCTACACTAAGTAACCCAGTGTTTGTGTAGTAATCATAACAAGTAAAATGAAACTTCGTGTGAAACTACAGCCACCAGTTTTGGATTGGATCCCTGAAGTTATTTTCACCTGAATTCAAGATCATCACTCCAGATTTTTTAAACAGTTTTTCACTTCATTGATGTCGCTGATACAGGAAATGAAGCACAGGAAGATACAAGACAGCGGATAGGTTAGTATGTCTAGGATATATATTGCATATCAAAGATCACTGATTGAATCCATGCGAAGACAAAAAATTCATCCAATTTTTTAAAGAATTTCAGCATTTAATTTCCTTAGATTTCACTCCAGTTTACTGTGGAGCTACTTTAGTAAAAAAAAGTGCCAACTTACAGAAATTCACTTCCCCTACATGCCAGTTGATCATTGAAAATTCCAGTGCAGCTCCCAGGACAAAGAAGATGGGGAGAAATCTATAAATACCAAAGTATTTCTTTCCAGGCCACCTATCCAAGAACCACCTCAGTCTGCTACTGTAAAATTTCATTTGCTATCCTGTAAATGAATATTTACCAACATTAATACCTGTATTATAAAGGTATTAGTATGATCAACAATTTGATTTTGTTTTTTATTAGGAATACGCACGCTGGACGAAGTGGGAAAACATCAGTGTGTGATGAGAACTGAAAACGGTAAGTAGCAGCATACCATCACTACTAATTTTGGGTATTATTCTAGCACATGTATTATTTTACATACAGAGACTCAGAAGAAAGTCCTGAACCTTCACTGGATCTATAACAGTCTCTCTTAGGAATGGTAGGAGTTTACGGTATAATACAGATCTTCTTGGTTGTGATGCATGTAGATTTGCAGCTGGATGCCAGTGTTTTATAGGAATATGCTGCCTCCATCTTCATGGCTGAATATGGAGGAAGTATGCTCCTCTTAAATGCACTTAGAAGTCCACATGGTATGACATGCAGAACACTGCCATCAATATCTTCACTGCTGTGATAACCTCAGATCTCAAACTACTGCTTAAATTCTGTTCTAGTCGAATGCACAGTTTATTGAATTGTACTTATCGAACAGATCACAAGTTCACAATCAAAACGTAAAGATCATTGGGAGAATACAGTCTGAATCACCCTAAGCTTAGCCTGGCCAATCTATGCAAACCTAAAGGTGAAAAGTTACACTGGAATGTGACTAGGCAGGAGACCACTTCAATCAATCAATGATTTTGAGTTTTAATTTGGGTTACCAGACCAAACAAAATCACTCTAACCTCCACAACACTGCTGTTAAAAGATACTTTGAACTACACTACCAGACAGAATTCTATAAAAATAAATCCCTTATAATGATAACAGATTGAGACATGTGACAAAGGCAGATGTTAAGTTACATAACCTCTTTTATCAACACAAAATTAAGGTGACAGTCTATATATTTTTACCATTATGAAATCAATTATATCAGATACTTTACAATGATTTATTAGGTCTAATAACAAAATTAAATCTGGCCTGAGTGTTCGGTAGATTAGTGGGGTTAGAAGGCTTTGATTCAGGCGTATAAGCTGTAAATAAAAACCGAATACAGTGACAAACGCAGTAAATACAGTCACCGTACTGTGGAGCTATTCCTTCTTGCCTGTTGTTGCAAATAATGTAAATAAACTTTCCCGAGTGGGTAATCGTTACATAGAGCACGTCTTTATAATCCGAAAACACGATATGTGAACATGACTATCGATGAGGTAATCGACTGTCGTAATCGTACTCTCGATTGTGACAGTCGATTACGTAGATCAGAAATGGTGGGATTTGACTTTATAGCAGTACTGTTGATTCCAGGACATCAATACTGGTAAGAATTTACTTCAAATTGTTTACTTTAATGCAACAAAGGTGGGGGAGGGGGGGAGATTCAAAGTATGTTTTACCAAAACAGAATCTTTAAAGTACATATACACAAAAACAGTTTGTTAAGTTGAAGTTAGTTTCAACACATTCTTGTCAGAATTTTTGGTATTCTGATAATATTAATATAACCTTAATTTTTAATGTTTATATTTTATGGAAGGGATGAATACGATATTTTGTTAATATGTGTACCTTGAAAAATATCTTTCGATTTTTGTTTGGTGTATTATTGCCTCGATAGCAATGCTGTGTATGTTCATTTATAGATTGTGTACTTGTAGTGAAATAAGCATTCC